CAATTTTCAGATCATCTCATCATGCTCCCCAGTCTTTCCACTACTCTTGGTACTCTTAGTTAGTTGTTATTGGCTCTGTGATTGGCTGTGCTGCTTTGGTGTTTATTCCTGCGATCATCTTTGTCGTGTGGAAACGGAGACAAAAGAAATTCAGTAAGTTTCAAACTGTCAGCAGTTTTATTGTTAATCTTCAGTCTAAATATTTCTGTTTCATTCTTTGTAATTGAAATATGTTTATTTGCATGTTAAAATTCCATTATTTGGCATTTCCAAACAGTTGCAAGTCAAATTAAAAAGGTCAAGTAATTGTTTTATCTGTCTTATCTCGTCTTTGAATTAAATAAATGCAAAGAAATGTATTTAATGAGCTCCACTTTTAGATTTACTGCTACACAAGTGAGTTCTGACACCATGGTTTACAGGTAGGAGGCAGCTTCAAAGTACTTATTCTATTAAATATACTGTTTGTAGAGGCTAAACCAACGCTTTAAGCCACTGAGGCGCTGCACCTGGATTTACTTATTAATGCACTGAATGTTACCTTGTCAGATGAATGAAAGTTAAAATGCCATTCTTTTATTTTACACTTATTGGCTCCACATGTCCATATTTCCATACTAAAAAAAACACCCACTTGAAACACTTGCAGCAACTGCTTAGCGGTCAAAAACACTCTTCATGATATCACTGCACCGTGAATCTCTTTGAATTTCTCTTTGAAAAACTAAAAACTAATCTTCACAATCCAACGTTTCAATTATCTACCGTTCCCTTGAGCTGTTCTCATTTACTTTTCGACCCATAAAAAGTTACTTTATTCATGGTTAAGTTAAGTCTGGCTCACACTGTGCAATTTTTCCCCGATTGTATAAAAGTCAGGGGTCAGCTCACACTGTACGACTGAATCGTTTACGACGCTGACCAGACCTTGAGATTTATGTGCTCAAACTGTACGACCCGATTGTTGGGCATGGCCAGAGAGCTCACACTGTACGAGTGAAATCCGGACGGAGCATTGACAATTGTGAATAAAGTTTCATTTGAAAAAAATAAAGGACGGCGGTTGGTGAAAGAAAAGGAAGTGAAAGTTGTTGTAGGATAGAGGAAAGTAGATACCATCATATATATATGGATACAAGTTTCAGAAAAGTGCTGCGCTAATGATCTGTGCCTTAAACTAAAAACAAAAAAGGGAAAGCCGGGTTGCGTCCTGCCGCTGGTTGCCATGACTACAGTCTTCCCTTGTCTCTCGTGATTATATTGTAGTCAAACACAACTTCTGCCCTTTCATGACGTAAACGTCAAGATTTTAAATTCTAAATATCAAACATGTTTGAAATAAATCAGGGCGTCCCCGACGATCGCCGGGCAGATCAGGGACGTTAAGATTGGATCTTTGTACCACTCACACTATAAAATAATCTGAGCAGATAATCGTGTCCGAGCAGCTTTGAGTCGGGAGCGACCCTGTGATTGTCGGGAAGGAAAAATCGGAGCTGAAATCGGCCCGATTATCCTGCAGTGTGAGCCAGGCTTTAATGGTGTAATCTTTGATCTGCCAGAAGTTCCTTATTTTCTTTCAAAATAAAAGCAGGTGTGTATCCAAACAGGAAATAGAATACTCTTAGATTAAGATGGTACACAATTCAATGTAAAAGCACAAGAAAAACTGAATTTCAAACATTATCAAAAATGTAATCAAAATGTGATTAATCTCAATTAACAATTGAAACTAAGCAATGTGTTGCTATTAAAACATTTAATTGTTAATAATTATATTAATTGAGAGATTGACCCCACCATTATTCAATTAAGGAGACAATGATTCCTCGCTCCTTCTCTTGCAAACCTGTTTATTCTGTCATGAGAAGTGTCTTCTGACAAAACATGCTCAGCAGGGAAATACAGAAAAAGAGAAATGTCTATGATGTCCCTTCTCTTAATGAAACTGGTGTAACCATTTCTCAATGATAAATGACTGCTTGGTGTTTTTCTGTTTTAAAGAAATGTAGGGGTTATTATATTCCCCATCCAAGCCACACTTCCAATATGATTGTGCAGGAAGGGATGCAAACTGCTGCTCCACTAGTTGAGCAGGCATTCAACTGAAATGCACTATCTTTCATCTTCCATTTAAAAACATCAGGCATTCAATCTAATTTCCAACAGATGTCACCATTTTATTTCATTTAATGTCTACACAGAAAAAAATGGAGGAGACGTGAGGATTGAAGTGAACACTAAGGAAGAAAAGCCAGTCACATCTAAAAGCGATAAAACAGGATTTCATGTTGTGAATGAAGAAGAAGAAGAAGAAGAAGAAGAAAGACTTACACTCATTTCAGTTCAAGAAGAGAACAATGTGAACACAAAAGGAGAAAAGAGTGAACCTAAAGATGAAATTGTGACAGAACCAGAGCCAGTAAAAGACATCGTCTCTGCAGCAGGACAACGTGAAATGAAGGAAACAGATCTACCTGTGATTCTAAAAGAAGAAACAAACCAAGAGCAGGAACAGGGATGATGGAGACGAGAGTGAAGAGGACACAGTGAAAACAGTTAGAGATGATTCAGGACTTTCAATGGTACAACTAAAACACATCAATACTGATCAGAAGATGGAGAGTGAAGAGACACAGCAAGAGGCAGCGAGTAAAGTCGATGGGAAAGAGACAAAAACTGAGAAGGAGAGACCAAAGAAAAAGGAGGCTCTGGAGCAACAGTACTGAAGAAGTCAAAGGAGAAAGGAATCAAACTGAAGTCAGAAAGAGAGAGTGTGGAGAGCAAAGAGATGCTTCATTCAGAGATAAAGAAAGCAGAAAACAAAGCTGAGACTGAGCTCAAACAACAAGAAGTAAATGTTGAACAATGTCTCTTCAAAGATGATAAACAGGAGAGGAGGAAGGCAGAACCTGAGGATAAAACAAAAATAAACCAAGATGGGAACCAGTTGAACATTACTACAATGACAGAAGAGGAAGCAGAGAAGCAAAAGAAGCAAAGCAGTGAGGATGTGAAAAAGACAGAAGGAAAGAAGGATGAGTGGGGGAACAAGGTGTCAGCTAATATGGAAGGTACAGAGAGGTCAGAGCTTGAAAAACATCAAGATGACACAGGAAGAAAGAACCAAGAGGTTTTAGGAGACAAAGACGTTCAGACAGAGAAACACCACTCTAGTTAAAGAAGAGACCTCCCTTTCTAATAAGCGAATTTTGATTTAAAAGACACTGCATTTGAATCTCAGATGTTACACAAAAAGGCTAAGAAGCCTCATCTCCCATTTAACAGTCACTGAAGCTTATCAGGCTGATAAAACTTGAACGCACCTTTTTTATTACAGATGACCATGGAGATCTGTTTATCAGGTTTTTTGCACTTTGAACATGCAGAGCCCTCTTGGATTTCCACAGACGTCGAACAGGTATACATTTTTGTCACTGTAAGTTTGTATTTAATGTTTTTGTCTTGACCTAATACTGGAAAACAAAACTGAATTTTGTCTTGTGAAAACAATGTAGGATTTGGTTTTCTCTGTGCAACAAATGCCATCCCTGCATGTAATTCCAGAAGGTATGTGGTTATGTTTAAAATAATCATACTATTTGTATTTCTTAAATCTATGTTTAATCCAGAAACCCCCGACTATTACCAGCAGCTTGTTTTCAGTTTTTAAAGCGAATGTCTGTCGGGAATTGAGACATTTCTGCAAATCAAATCCCTGCTGTTTCACTAAGGTTTGAGCGATGGTTAAATGATAGTGAGTTGTTTTTACTTAAATTGGCATTTTAGGAAACGTTTAACGATTTTAAAACTGTTAGTTGTCGTTTTAAAAAAGCTGTTAAATCCACATTATCCCTCTTTTTTGTGTTATAAATGAAAATGAAACTTAAGTGTTTGTTCACTGAAGGACACAGAGGGATGTGTTAATCATTATACTAAAAGTAAAATACGTTTGAAATTTCACAAAAATGCCAACATATGTTCACGAGAAGTGAGTATGTTTAAAATCTTGAACACAAACGTGAAATGTGGATTAACAACATTGTGCAAAGGACCTGTATCCCATTAGTCACTCACTTCAAATCCAAATGTTCTTTTTGGGATTTTGGATTGTATTCACAGATTTTCAGATTGATGTAATGGTCATTTAACAATATTTTAGAGTTGGAGTACTTGAGACTTGAGACGGTTATTTTCTATATTAAACATGTCATCCTTTCAAAATCATGTTTACAGGAAAATATCTTCATCATCCCAAACTGAACATTGACATTAAGTATTTTTCAGTATTATCATCCTCATTTATGTTCATTTTTACACTGATTTCTGCTTGCAGAACTCCATGATGCTTCATGTGACAAATAGACAACCCCTCAGCAGTCAGTTTGGTGCCTTCACTGACCCCGCTGTCCATGCTGTTGTCTTCCTCGCCCTGTTACACTCATGTAGAGGTACATGCAAACATAACAAACATTCAGGCTAAAGTATACATGTAAAATAGGTCTATACATGTTTAAATTAATATACAGTATGGCCCTAAATACCACTACATGGCTGTCTTAAAATTATTACTTAGGCATTTTCGTTAGGAATGAAAATGAAGTCCCTGCTTTTTTGTTTATTTGCAGCTCAGTCTGAGGTGATCGTTCCATCTCAGCCAGTAGTTTCATTGGTGGGTGAAGACGTTATTCTGCCATGTCACCTGGACCCCGTCATGAATGCTTTCGACATGTTTCTTGAGTGGACGAGACCTGACCTGAACCCCAGATTTATCCTTTTGTGGCGTCAAGGTGAAGAACTGGAGACTGAAAAACATCCGTCCTTCAGGGGAAGAACATCAGTGTTCATCGATGAGCTGGAGAAGGGAAACATCTCACTGAAACTTTCCAAAGTTAAAGTCTCCGATGAGGGAGGATACAAATGTGTCAAGTATTTAGTAGAGGTGATAATTGATTGTAAATATCATACTCGACCAGTCAAGACTTCTGTCCGTTCAAGCTGAGGACCTCGTCTTAATGATCATATCAAAGCTAATGCAGGACATATTTATGAGTTATGGGACATAAAAACGTGAAACTGATGACACATTTTTTCCTCTACTAAACCACATCCAATCATGGGGACACACTTTGTCTGACAGGTTGCTCTAATTCAGTGGTTCTCACAGTGATACGTGGGCTCCCTCTGGTGGTACGCAAATGAATCTCCATAATATAATACAAATACTTGTTCAGCATAAAACAACTTTTTTGGGGGGTAATGGTGGGGCGGGGGATCGACACCCCTTTCTTTTTTACTATCTTAGGGTGTATTTGAGCCAAACTCAACCACCTCAAGAAGAATAAATAAGATGCGATGATGTGGTAGTTCTGTACTTGCGTGCCAATATGCCGCTAGTTATATTGTGACTTCAATGTAAAGTGCTGCTTTGCTGTTAATTCCTGCGATCATCTTTGTTGTGTGGAGACGGAGACTAAAGAAATTCAGTAAGTGACAAACTGTCAGTCTTCTGATTGTAAGACTCCAGGTTGCGGATGTTTGATGATGTATTGATGAGGTTATTTTTTAGGACTGAGTAGTCGTTCAGTTTTGACTTACTTTGCATTCTTTTACATTCAAGTATTTGTGGATTCAAAAACAGTTTTTGTGTTAGTATGTCTCTGTGGTGGAGTGTTGTGGCTGGAGCTTTTATATTATCAGGTTGTCTTTTCGTCTATGCATGAGGTACAACATCCAAGAGAATGACACCACCTTTGTCAATAAGTAGATTATCTCCCTTTAAACTTGGTGTACACTTTACGATTTCAGGTCAATTTAGACCACATTTTGTAGTCGTACGACTGATTTTGATTTCTGGCTTTTCAGCCCGAATGTGCGTCTTACGTACACTGAAGCACGACGTCCAAACTCTGTCCAAACAGCTGCTGACTGGTCTGATGATTTTCTGGCATGTTTGATATTTTGGTCGTTCAACTGCACACACTCGCAGAGCAGGGGCGTGTCCAGACTTTTTTGACTGGGGTGGCCCACCTGGGGCACTAACCTATGCAGGGGTGGCATAAAGAGTGATATGCAGACAAGCACACACAAATATAAATTTGTATCTTCTCAAACCTCACCAATAATATAGACGTTATAACATTATTGACAAAAAAATAAGATTTATGTTCAAAACCACAATTTAACATACTTTAAAATTGTATGCTCCTGCACAGTCTAACTTGCAATAATGCAATTATTACAATGTTACAATTCACTTAGCAGACACTTTTATCCAAAGCGACATACATCAGAGAGTAAGTACAACACTAATCCATTCATACACCGACACTGAAGCAGAGGGTGTTAAGTGTCTTGCCCAAGGACACATCAGACATGTTGCCCAGCTGGGGTGTGATATATACCACACCATGGTGTATACCATCCAACAAAGAAAAAGATTCGGGTTGTGTTTGACTGTGCTGCAACCTTTCAAGGAACCTCTTTAAATGCACAGCTCCTGCAAGGACCAGACCTTACGAGCACATTGGTAGGAGTCATGACCCGGTTCAGAAAGGAGCCTGTAGTACTCATGGCTGACATTGAGGCCATGTTTCATCAGATACAGGTACCTGTTGAGGATGCAGATCTGCTACGGTTTCTTTGGTGGCCAGATGGGGACCATGATCAAAACCTGGTTGGACACAGGATGGTTGCACATCTGTTTGGGGCTACATTGTCTCCAAGCTGTGCAAGTTTTGCACTCAGAAAGTGTGCAGAGGACAACCAGGAGCAGTTCCACCCCAAAGTAATTGACACGGTCATGCATAATTTCTATGTTGATGATTGCCTTGCATCTGTAACTTCTGAGGAGGAAGCAGTGGCACTATATCAAGACCTACATGCACTTTTTGCTAAAGGGGGCTTTCAACTCACCAAATGGATTAGCAACAGACGTGGGGTGCTTGCTGCTATACCTCTAGAGGATAGAGAAAAAGACGTCAAGGATCTGGACTTGGACAATGACACACTTCCAGTGGAAAGGGCATTGGGTGTACATTGGTGTGTTCAGTCAGATGTTTTCAAGTTCAAGATTACAATAAAAGACAGACCCTTCACCAGAAGAGGGATCCTCTCCACAGTCAGTTCCATCTATGACCCCCTAGGGATTCTGGCACCTGTGGTCTTGTCCGCTAAAAGGATCCTGCAGGACTTGTGCAGAAAGGAGCTTGGTTGGGATGATGTTGTTCCAGCATCTGCTGCACAAGAATGGGCAAGTTGGTTGCAAGAGCTTTCCCAGCTTGAAGCTTTGAAAGTGGACAGATGCCTGAAACCAGTGGATTTTGGGGAAGTAACTTGTACACAGTTGCACCACTTTGCAGACGCAAGTGAAAGTGGTTACGGGACAGTTACTTACCTGTTATCACACAATATCCACAACACAGCGCACTGCGCATTTATCATGGGAAAGGCCAGAGTAGCCCCATTAAAGTCTATCACCATACCCCGTATGGAGCTGATGGCTGCTATGGTTGCAAGTCATATGGATGTAATGTGGAGAAAGGAGCTGCAGATGTCTCTACAGGATTCAGTGTTTTGGACAGACAGAACTTCTTTACTAAAGTACATTCAGAATAAGACGTCGAGGTTTCGAACCTTTGTAGCAAACAGGGTTTCAAAGATACTTAACGTGTCTAATCAGTCTCAGTGGAGATATGTTGACACCACAAGCAATCCAGCAGATTTGGCCTCTAGGGGAGTCAAAGCAGATGGCAGACTTGCCAAGGGACAGAGTTTCTCCAGATGCACCTCCTTTCACTTATGTTGGGTTCAATTATTTCGGACCCCTTCAGGTTAAACGAGGAAGGAGTACAGTGAAAAGATATGGTGTACTCTTTACATGTTTGACAATACGAGCTATTCATATTGAGATAGCTTCATCTTTGGACACAGATTCCTTTATTCATGCCCTCCGACGCTTCGTAGCAAGACGCGGTCAAGTGTTGGAAATGAGGTCAGACAATGGAACAAACTTTGTTGGGCTGAGCGTGAATTGCGGGAGGCAATTGAAAATGGAATCATGACCTAATAAATAACACACTCCTTTAAAAAAGAATAAAGTGGACTTTCAATCCCCCTACTGGATCACATCATGGAGGAGTATGGGAGAGATTGATAAGGTCTGTGAGGAAGATCTTGAATTCCAGCCTTAAGGTGCAGAACCTTGACGAGGAGGGCCTTCATACTGTTCTCTGTGAAGCAGAAGCTGTTATCAACACCCGTCCAATCACCAGAGCATCCACTGATCCCAATGATTTGGAGGCCCTCACTCCAAACCATCTTCTGCTGCTAAAGACCAAGCCTTTTCTACCACCAGGACAGTTTCAAAAGGAAGACCTTTATGCCCGTCGCAGATGGAAACAAGTGCAGTACATGGCTGACTTGTTTTGGAAACATTGGATCAAAGAGTACCTGCCTCTTCTTCAGGAGCGTCAGAAATGGTTGAGAGTTAAATGCAACTTTAGTCTTGGAGATATTGTGTTAATCGTTGATGACACAGCACCACGTAACTCCTGGGTTACTGGAAGGATTGTTCAAACTATTCCAGATAAAAGAGGACAAGTACGTCAGGTGAGGATCAAGACCAGGACCAGCTACCTTGACAGGCCTGTCACCAAGGTTTGCCTCCTCCTGGAAGCAGAGGAGCCATGAGAGCATGCTGACCATTGATCTTCATAGACCTTGACATTGACACTTATCAAGACTTTGACATTTTTTAACTTGACTGCATGATGTAAAGATCACTCTTTTTGGATTAAGGAACTTTTGAACTTCTCTTGTTGTATTTTTTAAGAAGAAAAAAAAGGGAAAGTTTTCTAAAAACTAACTGTATATTTAAAGGTTTTTCATCTGTCTCCTATATAATTAAATGTTAGATAATTATTGTGTCATAATAATTAGGGGCCGGAATGTAGGAGCCATAAATGTAAGTTGATTGTGTATTTGGTGTCATGGGTTGTTTACTGATTTGTTTATTGTTTACGGTCTGCTTGTTACTGGTGGTGGGTGTGTTCACCGGGAATCTCGTGGTGATGGCAGTGATTATATGGGCCGCACTCACCTGTTCACCTGGTTTTTGGCTTGGATGGAGAGTGGAGGTGAGCGTGGGAAGAGACAATTTCTGTTGACCGCCACACTACACTGCACTGCGATCGCAAGTTTATTTGATGATCCGAAAACAGCGTTTGTAGTATCTTGTTTTGATTTGGAAGAATAAATGACTAAAGCATCTTGGATCTGGAAGTCATTTATAACGACAGCGCGTCACAGCTTCACTCCCGTGTTTAGTCCCTCACGGCAAAACTTTTTGACGACCTGCAAAGGCCGATATAGCCGCAATAGTAGTGATCAGGTTTGAAGGAGAGGGAGGTGTAAAGAAATCAGATCCAATGAAACTGACCAAAGTCATTAGAGCGCAGGTAGGAGAGGTGAACTTTGCTAAAATTTTGGGGGATGGAAATTTGTTGATTGGATGACACAGTGAGGGACAAATTGAAAAAGCAAAAAAGTTAACACACCTGGGGAAAGCAAAGGTGAGTCAAGTAGTAAGAGTGGGGGAAAAAAGAAATGAAGGTGGAAAGGGTGTGATTGCTGGAGTGCCACTAACTGTTACAATGAAAGAGCTAGTTGAGCATCTTAAAGTACGCAACAGTACAGTCAGAAATGCAAGAAGAATGATGAGGGGAGTGGAGAAAAGAGAGACTGAGACTGTTCTGGTTGAGTTCGAGACCAAGGAAATTCCCAGAGACATTTTCTTTGGGTTTATAAGGTATAGTGTAAGAGAGTTTATACCGAAACCAATGAGATGTTTTCAGTGTCAAGAATTTGGACATGTGGCTAAAGATTGTAAAGGGAAGAGGAGATGTGCAAGATGTGGTGGAGATCATGAGTATGGCAAGTGTGGAGAAGGGGTCAGACCAAAGTGTTGCAGTTGTGGAGGTGAGCACAGTGTTGCATATTGGGGATGTGAAGCACAAAAACGGGAGGTAGAAGTCCAACAGATCAAAATAAAAGAGAAGGTGTCATATGCAGAGGCAGTGAAGAGATATGGACAGAAGGAAAAGAACATGAATCAAGCATATGGAAAAAGGGGCATGACAGGAAAGGAGGAGCAGAGTGAAAAAAGAGATGTGGAGCGAAAAGAAGAATCTGGTAACTTTTATGATAAATGCAACTGCAGATGTGAAGTCAAAAACAGAAAGGATTCAAATTGTTGTTAAAGCAGCAGTGCACCACCTTGATATGATAGGGTTGAAATGGGAGGAAATTCGGGACAGTCTTAGTGAACAATCTAGCCAAGAAGTAACATGTGTGGGTTAATCTTAATCATTTTAATATTACAATGGAATGCAAGAAGTTTGATTGCTCATGGACAGGATTTTAAGAAATTTATGAAGAGTAGAAATGAGAGGCCTGATATTTTGTGTATTCAAGAGACATGGCTAAA